TTATTTTTTCTATATATTTCTATTTAAAACTTGGATTCCCTATTGTGGCCCTGCCCTCCCCTGGGGGTGATGATTTTTACAATTTTGAATCTACACTACCCAAAGATGCTTCCACATAAGTCTCAGCTTTTTTGGCCGAATGGTTCTTGAGAAAAAGAATTTTCAATGACCCAACCCTATTTTTGTCTTTTCATAATTTATGATCTGCCCTTGGAAAGGGACTTGGCCCTTTATTTTAACAATTTAAACTCATCATCACCCAAGGATGTTTTCTACCAAGTTTGGTTTAAATTGGCCAAGTGGTTCTTGTGAAGAAATTGAAAATGTGATCAGAAAAGCTCACTTGAGCCTTCAGCTCGGGTGAGCTAAAAACTATTGCATGAATGTTTGGGAGACATGAAGATTTCTTCGCCCATGAAAAATCATATTCTTCTAGGGCGTTGCCCTCGGGGAATATGATATTTCATGGACGATGAAATCTTCATGACTCCCTCACTATCATGCAATTATTGTATAATATTGATTACTTTTCTAGCAAATTTTTCTAGTTATTTTTTTTACTCTAAACTAGAATGAATTCTGTTTTTTTGATCGATTGTTTTAAATTTATTAGCGTTAATCAAGTTATTAATAATTTTTGTGCAATTCTCAAGCTCGCAAATAGCTTAATTTTGTTGGGATTTGGCGTTGGATTAAAAACGTGTATTTGCAGTACGGCCGAGAACTGATATGGACGGAGAAATGATATCAAAAATAGTTCCCACATATGTCAGATACACCCAGGGTCCTAAGCAGCTACTATCATTCCAACAAGAGGCCCAGGGGCCACAGCGCTCACCTGAGCACATCGGGCTTGAATTTACCCCCCCCCCCTCCAGGCGTTCATCAGTTGAACAAATTAGAATCTACACTACCTGAGGGTGATTCCATATAAATATCACTAATCATAGCTCTGAAGTACTTGAAAAGAGGATTTTAAAAGGTTTCCCTATATATACCTATGTAAAACTTAGGTCGGCCATTTTGGCCCCATCCTTGCCCCAGGGGTCATGATTTGAACAAACTTGAATCTACACTACCTGAGGATGATTCAACATGAGTTTCATCTTTCCTGGCCCAGTGGTTCTGGAGAAGAAGATTTTTAAAGATTTTTCCTATATATTCCTATGTAAAACTTGGGTCGGCCATTTTGGCCCCACCCTTGCCCCGGGGGTCATGATTTGAACAAACTTGAATCTACACTACCTGAGGATGATTCCACATGAGTTTCATCTTTCCTGGCCCAGTGGTTCTGGAGAAGAAGATCTTTAAAGATTTTTCCTATATATTCCTATGTAAAACTTGGGTCGGCCATTTTGGCCCCATCCTTGCCCCGGGGGTCATGATTTGAACAAACTTGAATCTACACTACCTGAGGATGATTCAACATGAGTTTCATCTTTCCTGGCCCAGTGGTTCTGGAGAAGAAGATTTTTAAATATTTTTCCTATATATTCCTATGTAAAACTTGGGTCGGCCATTTTGGCCCCATCCTTGCCCCGGGGGTCATGATTTGAACAAACTTGAATCTACACTACCTGAGTATGATTCCACATGAGTTTCATCTTTCCTGGCCCAGTGGTTCTGGAGAAGAAGATTTTTAAAGATTTTTCCTATATATTCCTATGTAAAACTTGGGTCGGCCATTTTGGCCCCACCCTTGCCCCGGGGGTCATGATTTGAACAAATTTGAATCTACACTACCTGAGGATGCTTCCACATGAGTTTGAACTTTCCTGGCCCAGCGGTTCTGGAGAAGAAGATTTTTTAAAAATGCCATTAATTTTTAACAAATTCATGATTATCTCCCCTTGGAAAAGGGTGTGGCCCTTCATTTGAACAAACTTGAATCCCCTTCACCCAAGGATACTCTGTGCCAAGTTTGGTTGAAATTGGCCCAGTGGTTCTTGAGAAGAAGATGAAAATGTGAAAAGTTTACGACAACAACAACGACAACGACGACGACGACAGACAACGGACAAATTTTGATCAGAAAAGCTCACTTGAGCCTTCGGCTCAGGTGAGCTAATAACAGTGTGTCACTTTGCTTGATAGAGTGTGGTATTTAAGTTTCACATGTTGATTATCATATTACTCATCGATCGGATGTTTAATTTCAATGAAAGCAAAACTACTTTGCATTTGAAATACAGAACCCAGCAATACCACTTACAATACTGACCAATCTTATTGAATGATTGTTTATGAGAATGCAGTCAACAATAATCACATATGGACAGGCAAAGCAAGTTTCTATATCCTTATAATGATGGAATTGATCGCTTCATACAATATAATATTATACTTTCATATAAATTAGTTGAATCTGATTGGTTGAGAAACATTTGTTAAAAAACACTATTACCCACTGAAACATGAAGCCATGTCCTCCAACAGTCAACATTGCTTGACGACAGGGGTGATATTCCAAAAAAAAGAAAAGCGACTGCGCAGAATTTATGCGCGCACGGTTCACTGTTATATGTATTTGTATAAAACATACAGTATAACATAATAAATATTGCATGTAGTTGACTGTAACATTGAAAATTTTCACCCCAAGAAAACCATTGTCAACCTCGGTTTCTCCTTGGTTGACAATATATGAAAATTTTCAATGTTACACTCAACAACATGCAATATTTATATAATATATACTCAACAAAAAAAGAAATGTATATTGTTTTACTCATCAAAGACATTTTGAAAAAGTATATGGAACAACTATCTTTTTTTTATCATTGGATAGCTGTGGCCTATTCCAAGTACAGCATAGGGTTTTAAACCCCTAGTGTTGAATTATCTCCCTTGATTAATCATGTTTATGACAATAGTGTTTTACAAGATTTCTTGTAAATCGGGGGTCTATTTTCAATGATATTCTGGATTTGGAGAAGCAATAAACCCTCCTATTAAAACCATATTTGAGATTTGATTGCAATGTTGATGCTGCAATGCAAACAAAGATGAACGCAACAAGGATATAACGATGATACATTGTAACAACCAGAGCTACGCAACAGGAAGTTGCAACTGCCTTTGGTGTACATCAATCGGCTTTGCAGCAGTTAAACACACGTCTCCACCAGCTAGGAACACGGACGACAGACCAAGAACTGGCCGTCTGCGGATTACCACACCCAGACAGGACCGTCAGATCCCCCCTCTGCACCTGCGCAATCGATTCAAAACTGTTGTACAAACTGCTGAAATCAGCATAAGGCCATTCCAAGTTTTTTCTCTGTTTAGCGTTCACTCATCTTTAAAAAACTTACCTACCTATTCGCAAAAAACACACAAGCCAAAACATAAAACACAAGCTTCAAATTCATAAAAATGACGTCCTTCAATGATTTGATCTAACTAAATTGCTTTAATAGAAGAAATATCTATTTTTAAGGAAAAACAACGGAATAAATGCTTACAATACACCAAATATAACTTACTGTATAGATTTATTTGGAGAAATTTACAAAATTAAAAAATTTCGACTAAATTTATCAATTTCAGGACTTCTGTTGTTGTGTGTTTTTTCTCATATGGGGTGTCAAAAACCAAGGCGCACGCGGACGCTAAACATAAAAAAAATTTGGAATGGCCTAAAGTGCACAAATCGTTCACTAGAGACTAAGAGGAGCTGGTATTTATGCACGACATCCGTACATTTGATATCCACTGGCGCAGAGACGTCGCAAAGGACATATGGATTGGTTAAGACGTATGCCCTTAGAATTTGAACGCGACTTCAATGACATCAACTTAACTTTTCAATTTGGAACATATAGGACACAACACACACTAAATCACTTTTAAAAAATAAGGTTTAAACTGAAAACTTAGATTATCATGATTTCAATGTTTTATCTGTATTTTTTTATTGAGTTTATATCGGTCGCACCTGCTGTTACGGCCACCCTAAATCAGCGGCCACTCCCCTAAGTGGCCAGTATCAATCTGCCCATTCATTTTTTCACTATATTTTAACTCATTTAAGCGGCCACCTTTCCAATGTGGCCAGCGGCCAGTGCTTTTAGGTCCAATGCGCTCAACATGACTGTTTTCAGCCACCATTTTGTCTGTTTTGTCACATGACTTCAGTCTGACATGTGATCACGTATCCTCATATGAAGCCAAACATGATCAGCTGATAATGAGTTAAATCAGTTAATGACCAATAATTAGAGGTTTAAGGTCAAGATCTAGTAAATAGAAGTGCCTACATATTTTTCAAATTTAAGAAATTAATTCTTTTAATAATGCTTCATGACATTAGCCTGGTCAATATAGGTGTTTCGGGGCATAATTTGTAGAAAAACAAGATGAATTTAACTGTTATTTTCAATGAAAAATTAAGAAAACCAGTATTGAAAATGGGAGTTTTTTCTATATCAGACAAAGAAAATGTATCCAGATAGCCTACAGTCTTTCAGAAAACGGTTATTTGTATGTTCTTAGTCTCTACTTTCAAATAATGTTAAATTTAAGATAGGTATCGGGACTACTTTTCATGTGATTTCAAATTGAATTCTATGAAAATTCTTTATTTTCAACATAATTCTAGTAGAGCCGTAAAGTATGGGAAAAAGAAAGTTGAAAGTGATTATGACGTCATAATGGATCAAGCACCAAAACGTTAGTCTCAAGACATTTACTAGATCTTGACCTTAATTTGAATTCCGTCAGGATTTAATGATTTAACAAATATGATTAAATGATTTATTGTTAACAGATGTTTTTGGTGTTCTTTATATACGAGGGGTTATCAAAAAGTTCGTGGACTGATGCTATAAAAAGAATATTATGTAGACTTAGCATACGAAATTTTTAAGGAACATAAAACAACAAAAAATAAAGAAATGTTGAAAATTTTAGCTTGATACGTTCATTATTTCCCAAGTTATTATAAAATAAAAAAAAACGTCGCCATTACGTTATCAATGTCTGCTTCTTCTATGGGCGCAGACATTTTGGACACCCAAAGTTGTGCGGAGGAGAAAATGCTAGCTGGCGCGTGATTGGTCAATAAGAGAAAAGACTTGTTATGTATTTGACAAGTGAAATAAAGTTGATAAAAATCTCATATCAAGACTTGGGTTTCTTTGAGGTATATAGGAGTTACAGGTAAAAATTTGAAGGGAGGGATGCACTTTGGTTAGAGATTTTCATTTGGTGTCAAACGCACCTAGTTGTAAACAAATGGAAATTGAAAGTAAAAGTGCAACGGCACGGTATATTTTTTCTGGCATTTTTTGTTTTCCAATATCTCGAACTTTCACGACAAAAAGGTCATTTGCCCGAAATTCAATACATGTATCAGTGAGAGGGGCTAAAGTTTGTATGGAAGTCTATGGGAAAACATTTGGTGGTGTTTGTCCTATAGAATAGGTATGATTTCATGAATAAAAATTGATTACAGCCAAAAAATCAGTCAGTTCCTATTTTTTTGTTAGTTTTGAGTATTTGTTTAAAAATTAGAGGGTTTGGGTAAATTGAGGCTCACAGTGGGGACTGCACATAGTGAAAAAATGCCAAATTTTTGCCCTAGCTCTCATATTTTCAATAAATGTTCATGTAAATAATTTTAAATAAATATTTATACCGAAATTTACTGTGAATATTGTAAATAATACAATATCAATATTTATGGGCATCATCAATACACAAAACATATGAATATCCCCCTCGCAGTTTGAGAAATGCATTTAAATCCATGTGTTTTTTTGAGTGTAGACATTGGAACAGATTGAGTAATCCTCTTTCAAATTTGTGTTAATCAGAGTTGATTGAATAATTTATAACAAAATTTGACTGCTGTTAACTAATTAGGTTACTTTGTTTTTACATAAGGGGCATAATCCAGCAGAAAAGCCAGTTTTAGTCATGTAATCAGTGCTGGCTTGAAATAAAAGTTATACTTTTGGTGAAACTTAGAGATTACTTGTAGGAAATTTAATTGAAATTACAGTACAATATATTTTTACAGATAATACATTGAAAATGCAATAAATATGCAAAATTATAACTGAAAAAAATATGAAAAAGGTGTCTGAATATCCCTCCTCCTTGCCATATCCATCTTGATATTCTGCTGAAAAAGGGGGGGGGGTAATTTTGTGCTCTAATCATGCTGAAAAATGAAGGAATTTTGTTTTAAATTTGGTTTATTTGAATAACAAGAGTCATGTTTATCTGCAGTTATTTTTTTTCAATTTCTTTGATATTTTTTGAAATAATTATCTGAGTAAATTCTATTTCAACATGATTATTTTAAAGGTATTACATCACAAATGCTTAAAAAAATTCAAAAGATGGTGTAAATAATAAAAAATTATTATATAAGCTACTAGATGCATTTATCAGTATGTTTTAATAAAATAAAATGTATTTCAGCAATGCATTATCAAGAAGGAAGAGATTAATGAACCCTACCCTCTTACAATGAACAACACATGGACACTCTCGGGATGATCCGTTTGCTTTCATTAAGAGTTCCAAGGTATGATTTTCTTAGAAAATCTAGTTAATCTCTTAATATTTAAGTTATTTAGAACTTTTTATAGATTATCAGAAAATAAATTTCCTCAGAACTGCATTTATTTAAACACTTTGCGTACAATTGAGCACTGTATTCAGTCAGACAATATGATTTATCTGCCCTTGGCATTTAATCAATTTATTAATTATGTCAATAATAAGAAATGATATGCAAATAAATATATTTGCCTTTTATGAGAATATACATATTTAACATCAATTACATGAAATGTTCATGAAAATTGGCTAAAATGTAGGTCACCCCCCTTCAAAATTACAAAATTTTCAGTGGGGATGTATTTGATTCTCTGATGCCATCAACCCACTGCTGATAGAATTTGTTTTAATCTTATGTACATTTGAACTAGATATAATTCTCTTTCTTTCCATTGATTATTTTATCTACATTAGTTTTCACTCTTTCCATAACCCAGCTTTTTCTTACAAAAACCTGCTGATTTTCTTCATTTTTCATTAATAACGGGTACCTGCTACCCTGAATGATTAACATGATCTACCTTGAGAAATTATTAGAGATAATAAGAAAAACAAGCAAAACATATGCTAGATTAATCATTTTATTTTAAAAGTTTGAAAGAAAAATAGAAAAATGCTTCAATTTATAGACATCTTTTCTGTTTCACAGATGTTGGTCTGATTGACTGGGGTGTGAAATGTAACAGCCAATGGTGTACTTAAGCTAAGACTGTCAGTCCCAATATTCAAGAGGTGAGATAAGCAATGGATATGTGTTCTAAATTTACTAAATTGACCACTTTTTATAAATGTTTCTTTTACTCTATAGGAAAAACCCCTACATAAACAAATACATGGGCGCAGACATTTTGGACACCCAAAGTTGTGCGGAGGAGAAAATGCTAGCTGGCGCGTGATTGGTCAATAATAAGAGAAAAGACTTGTTATGTATTTGACAAGTGAAATAAAGTTGATAAAAATCTCATATCAAGACTTGGGTTTCTTTGAGGTATATAGGAGTTACAGGTAAAAATTTGAAGGGAGGAATGCACTTTGGTTAGAGATTTTCATTTGGTGTCAAACGCACCTAGTTGTAAACAAATGGAAATTGAAAGTAAAAGTGCAACGGCACGGTATATTTTTTCTGGCATTTTTTGTTTTCCAATATCTCGAACTTTCACGACAAAAAGGTCATTTGCCCGAAATTCAATACATGTATCAGTGAGAGGGGCTAAAGTTTGTATGGAAGTCTATGGGAAAACATTTGGTGGTGTTTGTCCTATAGAATAGGTATGATTTCATGGATAAAAATTGATTACAGCCAAAAAATCAATCAGTTCCTATAATTTTGGCATTGGGATTATATTTTAGTTAGTTTTGAGTATTTGTTTAAAAATTAGAGGGTTTGGGTAAATTGAGGCTCACAATGGGGACTGCACATAGTGAAAAAATACCAAAATTTTTGCCCTAGCTCTCATATTTTCAATAAATGTTCATGTAAATAATTTTAAATAAATATTTATACCGAAATTTACTGTGAATATTGTAAATAATACAATATCAATATTTATGGGCATCATCAATACACAAAACATATGAATATCCCCCTCGCAGTTTGAGAAATTCATTTAAATACATGTGTTTTTTGAGTGTAGACATTGGAACAGATTGAGTAATCCTCTTTCAAATTTGTGTTAATCAGAGTTGATTGAATAATTTATAACAAAATTTGACTGCTTTTAACTAATTAGGTTACTTTGTTTTTACATAAGGGGCATAATCCAGCAGAAAAGCCAGTTTTAGTCATGTAATCAGTGCTGGCTTGAAATAAAAGTTATACTTTTGGTGAAACTTAGAGATTACTTGTAGGAAATTTAATTGAAATTACAGTACAATATATTTTTACAGAAAATACATTGAAAATGCAATAAATATGCAAAATTATAACTGAAAAAAATATGAAAAAGGTGTCTGAATATCCCTCCTCCTTGCCATATCCATCTTGATATTCTGCTGAAAAAGGGGGGGGGGGTAATTTTGTGCTCTAATCATGCTGAAAAATGAAGGAATTTTGTTTTAAATTTGGTTTATTTGAATAACAAGAGTCATGTTTATCTGCAGTTATTTTTTTTCAATTTCTTTGATATTTTTTAAAATAATTATCTGAGTAAATTCTATTTCAACATGATTATTTTAAAGGTATTACATCACAAATGCTTAAAAAAATTCAAAAGATGGTGTAAATAATAAAAAATTATTATATAAGCTACTAGATGCATTTATCAGTATGTTTTAATAAAATAAAATGTATTTCAGCAATGCATTATCAAGAAGGAAGAGATTAATGAACCCTACCCTCTTACAATGAACAACACATGGACACTCTCGGGATGATCCCTTTGCTTTCATTAAGAGTTCCAAGGTATGGTTTTCTAGAAAATCTAGTTAATCTCTTAATATTTAAGTTATTTAGAACTTTTTATAGATTATCAGAAAATAAATTTCCTCAGAACTGCAGTTATTTAAACACTTTGCGTACAATTGAGCACTGTATTCAGTCAGACAATATGATTTATCTGCCCTTGGCATTTAATCAATTTATTAATTATGTCAATAATAAGAAATGATATGCAAATAAATATATTTGCCTTTTATGAGAATATACATATTTAACATCAATTACATGAAATGTTCATGAAAATTGGCTAAAATGTAGGTCACCCCCCTTCAAAATTACAAAATTTTCAGTGGGGATGTATTTGATTCTCTGATGCCAGCAACCCACTGCTGATAGAATTTGTTTTAATCTTATGTACATTTGAACTAGATATAATTCTCTTTCTTTCCATTGATTATTTTATCTACATTAGTTTTCACTCTTTCCATAACCCAGCTTTTTCTTACAAAAACCTGCTGATTTTCTTCATTTTTCATTAATAACGGGTACCTGCTACCCTGAATGATTAACATGATCTACCTTGAGAAATTATTAGAGATAATAAGAAAAACAAGCAAAACATATGCTAGATTAATCATTTTATTTTAAAAGTTTGAAAGAAAAATAGAAAAATGCTTCAATTTATAGACATCTTTTCTGTTTCACAGATGTTGGTCTGATTGACTGGGGTGTGAAATGTAACAGCCAATGGTGTACTTAAGCTAAGACTGTCAGTCCCAATATTCAAGAGGTGAGATAAGCAATGGATATGTGTTCTAAATTTACTAAATTGACCACTTTTTATAAATGTTTCTTTTACTCTATAGGAAAAACCCCTACATAAACAAATACATGGGCGCAGACATTTTGGACACCCAAAGTTGTGCGGAGGAGAAAATGCTAGCTGGCGCGTGATTGGTCAATAAGAGAAAAGACTTGTTATGTATTTGACAAGTGAAATAAAGTTGATAAAAATCTCATATCAAGACTTGGGATTCTTTGAGGTATATAGGAGTTACAGGTAAAAATTTGAAGGGAGGAATGCACTTTGGTTAGAGATTTTCATTTGGTGTCAAACGCACCTAGTTGTAAACAAATGGAAATTGAAAGTAAAAGTGCAACGGCACGGTATATTTTTTCTGGCATTTTTTGTTTTCCAATATCTCGAACTTTCACGACAAAAAGGTCATTTGCCCGAAATTCAATACATGTATCAGTGAGAGGGGCTAAAGTTTGTATGGAAGTCTATGGGAAAACATTTGGTGGTGTTTGTCCTATAGAATAGGTATGATTTCATGGATAAAAATTGATTACAGCCAAAAAATCAGTCAGTTCCTATAATTTTGGCATTGGGATTATATTTTAGTTAGTTTTGAGTATTTGTTTAAAAATTAGAGGGTTTGGGTAAATTGAGGCTCACAATGGGGACTGCACATAGTGAAAAAATGCCAAATTTTTGCCCTAGCTCTCATATTTTCAATAAATGTTCATGTAAATAATTTTAAATAAATATAAATATTTATACCGAAATTTACTGTGAATATTGTAAATAATACAATATCAATATTTATGGGCATCATCAATACACAAAACATATGAATATCCCCCTCGCAGTTTGAGAAATGCATTTAAATCCATGTGTTTTTTTGAGTGTAGACATTGGAACAGATTGAGTAATCCTCTTTCAAATTTGTGTTAATCAGAGTTGATTGAATAATTTATAACAAAATTTGACTGCTTTTAACTAATTAGGTTACTTTGTTTTTACATAAGGGGCATAATCCAGCAGAAAAGCCAGTTTTAGTCATGTAATCAGTGCTGGCTTGAAATAAAAGTTATACTTTTGGTGAAACTTAGAGATTACTTGTAGGAAATTTAATTGAAATTACAGTACAATATATTTTTACAGATAATACATTGAAAATGCAATAAATATGCAAAATTATAACTGAAAAAAATATGAAAAAGGTGTCTGAATATCCCTCCTCCTTGCCATATCCATCTTGATATTCTGCTGAAAAGGGGGGGGGGGTAATTTTGTGCTCTAATCATGCTGAAAAATGAAGGAATTTTGTTTAAATTTGGTTTATTTGAATAACAAGAGTCATGTTTATCTGCAGTTATTTTTTTTCAATTTCTTTGATATTTTTTAAAATAATTATCTGAGTAAATTCTATTTCAACATGATTATTTTAAAGGTATTACATCACAAATGCTTAAAAAAATTCAAAAGATGGTGTAAATAATAAAAAATTATTATATAAGCTACTAGATGCATTTATCAGTATGTTTTAATAAAATAAAATGTATTTCAGCAATGCATTATCAAGAAGGAAGAGATTAATGAACCCTACCCTCTTACAATGAACAACACATGGACACTCTCGGGATGATCCCTTTGCTTTCATTAAGAGTTCCAAGGTATGGTTTTCTTAGAAAATCTAGTTAATCTCTTAATATTTAAGTTATTTAGAACTTTTTATAGATTATCAGAAAATAAATTTCCTCAGAACTGCAGTTATTTAAACACTTTGCGTACAATTGAGCACTGTATTCAGTCAGACAATATGATTTATCTGCCCTTGGCATTTAATCAATTTATTAATTATGTCAATAATAAGAAATGATATGCAAATAAATATATTTGCCTTTTATGAGAATATACATATTTAACATCAATTACATGAAATGTTCATGAAAATTGGCTAAAATGTAGGTCACCCCCCTTCAAAATTACAAAATTTTCAGTGGGGATGTATTTGATTCTCTGATGCCATCAACCCACTGCTGATAGAATTTGTTTTAATCTTATGTACATTTGAACTAGATATAATTCTCTTTCTTTCCATTGATTATTTTATCTACATTAGTTTTCACTCTTTCCATAACCCAGCTTTTTCTTACAAAAACCTGCTGATTTTCTTCATTTTTCATTAATAACGGGTACCTGCTACCCTGAATGATTAACATGATCTACCTTGAGAAATTATTAGAGATAATAAGAAAAACAAGCAAAACATATGCTAGATTAATCATTTTATTTTAAAAGTTTGAAAGAAAAATAGAAAAATGCTTCAATTTATAGACATCTTTTCTGTTTCACAGATGTTGGTCTGATTGACTGGGGTGTGAAATGTAACAGCCAATGGTGTACTTAAGCTAAGACTGTCAGTCCCAATATTCAAGAGGTGAGATAAGCAATGGATATGTGTTCTAAATTTACTAAATTGACCACTTTTTATAAATGTTTCTTTTACTCTATAGGAAAAACCCCTACATAAACAAATACATGGGCGCAGACATTTTGGACACCCAAAGTTGTGCGGAGGAGAAAATGCTAGCTGGCGCGTGATTGGTCAATAAGAGAAAAGACTTGTTATGTATTTGACAAGTGAAATAAAGTTGATAAAAATCTCATATCAAGACTTGGGTTTCTTTGAGGTATATAGGAGTTACAGGTAAAAATTTGAAGGGAGGAATGCACTTTGGTTAGAGATTTCATTTGGTGTCAAACGCACCTAGTTGTAAACAAATGGAAATTGAAAGTAAAAGTGCAACGGCACGGTATATTTTTTCTGGCATTTTTTGTTTTCCAATATCTCGAACTTTCACGACAAAAAGGTCATTTGCCCGAAATTCAATACATGTATCAGTGAGAGGGGCTAAAGTTTGTATGGAAGTCTATGGGAAAACATTTGGTGGTGTTTGTCCTATAGAATAGGTATGATTTCATGGATAAAAATTGATTACAGCCAAAAAATCAGTCAGTTCCTATAATTTTGGCATTGGGATTATATTTTAGTTAGTTTTGAGTATTTGTTTAAAAATTAGAGGGTTTGGGTAAATTGAGGCTCACAATGGGGACTGCACATAGTGAAAAAATGCCAAAATTTTTGCCCTAGCTCTCATATTTTCAATAAATGTTCATGTAAATAATTTTAAATAAATATTTATACCGAAATTTACTGTGAATATTGTAAATAATACAATATCAATATTTATGGGCATCATCAATACACAAAACATATGAATATCCCCCTCGCAGTTTGAGAAATGCATTTAAATCCATGTGTTTTTTTGAGTGTAGACATTGGAACAGATTGAGTAATCCTCTTTCAAATTTGTGTTAATCAGAGTTGATTGAATAATTTATAACAAAATTTGACTGCTTTTAACTAATTAGGTTACTTTGTTTTTACATAAGGGGCATAATCCAGCAGAAAAGCCAGTTTTAGTCATGTAATCAGTGCTGGCTTGAAATAAAAGTTATACTTTTGGTGAAACTTAGAGATTACTTGTAGGAAATTTAATTGAAATTACAGTACAATATATTTTTACAGATAATACATTGAAAATGCAATAAATATGCAAAATTATAACTGAAAAAAATATGAAAAAGGTGTCTGAATATCCCTCCTCCTTGCCATATCCATCTTGATATTCTGCTGAAAAAGGGGGGGGGGGGGGTAATTTTGTGCTCTAATCATGCTGAAAAATGAAGGAATTTTGTTTAAATTTGGTTTATTTGAATAACAAGAGTCATGTTTATCTGCAGTTATTTTTTTTCAATTTCTTTGATATTTTTTAAAATAATTATCTGAGTAAATTCTATTTTAACATGATTATTTTAAAGGTATTACATCACAAATGCTTAAAAAAATTCAAAAGATGGTGTAAATAATAAAAAATTATTATATAAGCTACTAGATGCATTTATCAGTATGTTTTAATAAAATAAAATGTATTTCAGCAATGCATTATCAAGAAGGAAGAGATTAATGAACCCTACCCTCTTACAATGAACAACACATGGACACTCTCGGGATGATCCCTTTGCTTTCATTAAGAGTTCCAAGGTATGATTTTCTTAGAAAATCTAGTTAATCTCTTAATATTTAAGTTATTTAGAACTTTTTATAGATTATCAGAAAATAAATTTCCTCAGAACTGCATTTATTTAAACACTTTGCGTACAATTGAGCACTGTATTCAGTCAGATCCAGTTTGAATATGATTTATCTGCCCTTGGCATTTAATCAATTTATTAATTATGTCAATAATAAGAAATGATATGCAAATAAATATATTTGCCTTTTATGAGAATATACATATTTAACATCAATTACATGAAATGTTCATGAAAATTGGCTAAAATGTAGGTCACCCCCCTTCAAAATTACAAAATTTTCAGTGGGGATGTATTTGATTCTCTGATGCCATCAACCCACTGCTGATAGAATTTGTTTTAATCTTATGTACATTTGAACTAGATATAATTCTCTTTCTTTCCATTGATTATTTTATCTACATTAGTTTTCACTCTTTCCATAACCCAGCTTTTTCTTACAAAAACCTGCTGATTTTCTTCATTTTTCATTAATAACGGGTACCTGCTACCCTGAATGATTAACATGATCTACCTTGAGAAATTATTAGAGATAATAAGAAAAACAAGCAAAACATATGCTAGATTAATCATTTTATTTTAAAAGTTTGAAAGAAAAATAGAAAAATATTTCAATTCATAGACATCTTTTCTGTTTCACAGATATTGGTCTGATTGACTGGGGTGTGAAATGTAACAGCCAATGGTGTACTTAAGCTAAGACTGTCAGTCCCAATATTCAAGAGGTGAGATAAGCAATGGATATGTGTTCTAAATTTACTAAATTGACCACTTTTTATAAATGTTTCTTTTACTCTATAGGAAAAACCCCTACATAAACAAATACATGGGCGCAGACATTTTGGACACCCAAAGTTGTGCGGAGGAGAAAATGCTAGCTGGCGCGTGATTGGTCAATAAGAGAAAAGACTTGTTATGTATTTGACAAGTGAAATAAAGTTGATAAAAATCTCATATCAAGACTTGGGTTTCTTTGAGGTATATAGGAGTTACAGGTAAAAATTTGAAGGGAGGAATGCACTTTGGTTAGAGATTTTCATTTGGTGTCAAACGCACCTAGTTGTAAACAAATGGAAATTGAAAGTAAAAGTGCAACGGCACATATATTTTTTCTGGCATTTTTTGTTTTCCAATATCTCGAACTTTCACGACAAAAAGGTCATTTGCCCGAAATTCAATACATGTATCAGTGAGAGGGGCTAAAGTTTGTATGGAAGTCTATGGGAAAACATTTGGTGGTGTTTGTCCTATAGAATAGGTATGATTTCATGGATAAAAATTGATTAGAGCCAAAACATCAATCAGTTCCTATTTTTTTGGCATTGAGATTATATTTTAGTTAGTTTTGACTATTTGTTTAAAAATTAGAGGGTTTGGGTAAATTGAGGCTCACAATGGGGACTGCACATAGTGAAAAAATACCAAAATTTTTGCCCTAGCTCTCATATTTTCAATAAATGTTCATGTAAATAATTTTAAATAAATATTTATACCGAAATTTACTGTGAATATTGTAAATAATACAATATCAATATTTATGGGCATCATCAATACACAAAACATATGAATATCCCCCTCGCAGTTTGAGAAATTCATTTAATACACAAAACATATGAATATCCCCCTCGTCCATGTGTTTTTTTGAGTGTAGACATTGGAACAGATTGAGTAATCCTCTTTCAAATTTGTGTTAATCAGAGTTGATTGAATAATTTATAACAAAATTTGACTGCTTTTAACTAATTAGGTTACTTTGTTTTTACATAAGGGGCATAATCCAGCAGAAAAGCCAGTTTTAGTCATGTAATCAGTGCTGGCTTGAAATAAAAGTTATACTTTTGGTGAAACTTAGAGATTACTTGTAGGAAATTTAATTGAAATTACAGTACAATATATTTTTGCAGAAAATACATTGAAAATGCAATAAATATGCAAAATTATAACTGAAAAAAATATGAAAAAGGTGTCTGAATATCCCTCCTCATTGCCATATCCATCTTGATATTCTGCTGAAAAGGGGGGGGGGGTAATTTTGTGCTCTAATCATGCTGAAAAATGAAGGAATTTTGTTTAAATTTGGTTTATTTGAATAACAAGAGTCATGTTTATCTGCAGTTATTTTTTTTCAATTTCTTTGATATTTTTTAAAATAATTATCTGAGTAAATTCTATTTCAACATGATTATTTTAAAGGTATTACATCACAAATGCTTAAAAAAATTCAAAAGATGGTGTAAATAATAAAAAATTATTATATAAGCTACTAGATGCATTTATCAGTATGTTTTAATAAAATAAAATGTATTTCAGCAATGCATTATCAAGAAGGAAGAGATTAATGAACCCTACCCTCTTACAATGAACAACACATGGACACTCTCGGGATGATCCCTTTGCTTTCATTAAGAGTTCCAAGGTATGATTTTCTTAGAAAATCTAGTTAATCTCTTAATATTTAAGTTATTTAGAACTTTTTATAGATTATCAGAAAATAAATTTCCTCAGAACTGCATTTATTTAAACACTTTGCGTACAATTGAGCACTGTATTCAGTCAGACAATATGATTTATCTGCCCTTGGCATTTAATCAATTTATTAATTATGTCAATAATAAGAAATGATATGCAAATAAATATATTTGCCTTTTATGAGAATATACATATTTAACATCAATTACATGAAATGTTCATGAAAATTGGCTAAAATGTAGGTCACCCCCCTTCAAAATTACAAAATTTTCAGTGGGGATGTATTTGATTCTCTGATGCCAGCAACCCACTGCTGATAGAATTTGTTTTAATCTTATGTACATTTGAACTAGATATAATTCTCTTTCTTTCCATTGATTATTTTATCTACATTAGTTTTCACTCTTTCCATAACCCAGCTTTTTCTTACAAAAACCTGCTGATTTTCTTCATTTTTCATTAATAACGGGTACCTGCTACCCTGAATGATTAACATGATCTACCTTGAGAAATTATTAGAGATAATAAGAAAAACAAGCAAAACATATGCTAGATTAATCATTTTATTTTAAAAGTTTGAAAGAAAAATAGAAAAATGCTTCAATTTATAGACATCTTTTCTGTTTCACAGATGTTGGTCTGATTGACTGGGGTGTGAAATGTAACAGCCAATGGTGTACTTAAGCTAAGACTGTCAGTCCCAATATTCAAGAGGTGAGATAAGCAATGGATATGTGTTCTAAATTTACTAAATTGACCACTTTTTATAAATGTTTCTTTTACTCTATAGGAAAAACCCCTACATAAACAAATACATGGGCGCAGACATTTTGGACACCCAAAGTTGTGCGGAGGAGAAAATGCTAGCTGGCGCGTGATTGGTCAATAAGAGAAAAGACTTGTTATGTATTTGACAAGTGAAATAAAGTTGATAAAAATCTCATATCAAGACTTGGGTTTCTTTGAGGTATATAGGAGTTACAGGTAAAAATTTGAAGGGAGGAATGCACTTTGGTTAGAGATTTTCATTTGGTGTCAAACGCACCTAGTTGTAAACAAATGGAAATTGAAAGTAAAAGTGCAACGGCACGGTATATTTTTTCTGGCATTTTTTGTTTTCCAATATCTCGAACTTTCACGACAAAAAGGTCATTTGCCCGAAATTCAATACATGTATCAGTGAGAGGGGCTAAAGTTTGTATGGAAGTCTATGGGAAAACATTTGTGGTCGCAATTTTTTATTCATTGGTTTGAAACCTGGAATAAGTGGCCACCTGTCTTATGTGGCCAATTTGTCATTCTCCCACAAGTGGCCTCTTAAAACAGGTTTGGCTGTATTATAATAGTTTCAAAGCATAGACTTACTTATTTCATGCTTTTGATATTTCTCATACGTAACAAAATTAGCTTCCTTCGGTCAAATCACAACAAATGTGACACATACTTTAGGGGGGACAGTAAACGGGCTTTGACTGACCACGTGTTCCGTTGACTACAAATGCTGCGCTGGAAAACAATTATTTAATACGATTGGTCAGTGTTACTGGGGTATTGTTGGATTCTGTTTTTCATATGTAAAGTAGTATTGATTTTAGTCAAATTAAACATATTCAATAAATGATTGATATAGCACTCAAATTGCAAAATTTTTACCACAGTCTATCAAACAAAGTGACACGCTGTTAATGGAATGATAGTACCTTGTGCAACACTACATTTCAGCTGACGCACAGACAATGAATCAGAATTTACACATACTTGGTAGCTAAGAGTTCGCAAGTATGAATCTACCTATTTTTATTCCAAGCCACATATTCAATATTATTTTTGAAGTACTTTTAATAATGTATGAGGGGTGATCAAAGAGTTCATGAACCAATTGAATAACTTTCT